TATCTATCTATCTATCTATCTATCTATCTATCTATCTATCTATCTATCTATCTATCTATCTATCTATCGATCGTTCGTTCGTTCGTTCGTTCGTTCGTTCGTTCGTTCGTTCGAAGCTTTTTCAAGCCTCGGGGCGCGTGGCAACATCTGCCGGCTCTGTCACGCGACAGGAATCCGCTTTGGCCGTTCTCGCGCACCGAGCCGTCAGTTTGTTTCTGTGCGCGCGCTCGCGCCTGCGTCCTGTGACTAATTGGCAGCTGTGAGGACTAATGTCGCATTAAAAAACACGCAGATAAACACGCAGAGAGCGAAAGGCGGCCGCTGGTTCGGGTTGTTGTTAAAGCGGCTTCGTTTAAAAGATGAAGTTTTAAATTCAGAAGAAATAACTCACGGAGAGGAGCTCCAGCTGTGTCCGCTCCCCGAAGCTTTTTCCACTCCACTGTCCGCCTCTCGTTGTCTCCAGAACGGGCACTGACCTGGACCGGGACCCGTAAGAAATCTGCGTCACACAGTTTTATTCTCACCCGCTGAGCAGCTCTTAGGGATTTATTCTAGTTGCGCAGAGGTTTTGTTTTTGTTGTTCATCCCCCGTCAGTCCATCTATGTTCGGCTGGCTGGCATCAGCCCTGACGCGCTGCTCCCGGTGTGGAGTGGAGTGGAGTGGAGCGCAGTGGGCGGGCAGGCGGGCTACAGAGCTGTCCACTTGACGGTCCGATCCCTCCCATGTTGGCATGACCCCCACTATGAGCTCATACAGATCACACGGAAACTACAAACACCAACATTTCTGCTGCTCCTTAACTTACTCAGCTGACTCTGCCCATTAATAACAGCAGCTGCTGCCACACTCATCATGAGAAGAGACTTCATTTGGCAGAAGACTCGCAGGGCATTGTATGGGGAATAAATGAATACATTCACCCCCAAAAATCTCTGAAAGTTTCTGGAAAAAGAGTTTCAAAGGTCAAGGATTCTCGGATTTCCAAATTTTTCAAAAAAAATTTTTGAGATTAATCTAAAAATCTCTGAAATTTTGTAGAAACAGACATTTATAAGCTTGAAAAGTAGAAAACAACTCAGAAATTTTGAGATTAATCTCAGAAAATTTCTAGAAAAGTTTCAAAAATCAAATTTTTTAAATTGCCACGTTTTTCCAGAAAATGTCTGAGATTAATCTAAAAAAAAAAAAAATCAAAAGATGTTGAGATTAATCTCAGAAATTTTCTAGAAAAACATGGAAATTTGTGATTTTCACAAGAAATTCACAATTTTCTTGTGAATTTCACAAGAAATTCACAATTTTCTTGTGAATTTCTGAGATCAATTTATTTTTTTTTCTTCCAAAATTTCAACTTTTCAAGCTCAGAAATTTTTATCTCAGAAATTTTTGAGGAAAAAAACAAAAAGTTTATTTCTGAGATCAAAAAGTCAAACATTTTTAGATCCAAAAGTTCCTTTTTGAGCTCAGAAATGTTCTTGCTTTTCCAAGAAAATTTCTGAAATCAATCTCAAAATATGTATTTTCTCTCACTAATATTCAACTTTTGGGGCTCACAAATGTTCCTGTTTTCATAAAAATAAAAATAAAAATTCTGAGGCTAATCTCAAAATTTCTGAGTTTTTCAGTCAAAATATTAAACTTTAAGCTCAGAAACTTCTCTGTTTTTTCTAGAAAATTTCGGAGATTAATCTCAAAATTTGAGGGTTTTTTGCCAAAATGTACTCATTTTTTCCTATCTACACTGCCCCTATACCAGATAGATGCTAACCTCAAAAGTGACTAAGTCATACATTAACAGCTTTATCTCACCGCAGGAATCTCTTCCGGAGCTCCAGCCCCGAAACTGGACACAAAGATCCACTGTCCCGCTTCGCAGATTGTTGCTGCATGAAGTTAACCTTTGAAAAGTAGAGCTGTCCTCACCGCCATTTACAGTTTGAGCAGACTTAAAAACAAAACACAGGCGAGTTAAGCGGCTACTTAAGCTAGCACCTAGCTAGCATGATAAAAATGTATGCATATATTTAAAAAGCCATGTTGAAAAATACAAACTAAATTCCTTCACACATGGAAAATTATTTCTATATTATTTTTATTGCTGGTACATTAGTTAATGTGTTTGGGTGTCTAGGAAAATGAGCCGTTTCAAAAATCTCCGGAATGTAGCGTCACAAATTAGCATGCCCAGCCCGTTACCTAGCAACCCCAGTCAAGGCCAAATGTGCCGGAAGTCAACTTGGGTTGCTAGGTAACCCTGGCTGAATTTGGCCAACTTGTTTTGGTGCTGGAAAAGACAAGTGTTTTGTTATGGAGGGTTGACTTGCCATTCAGAAACCACTTCCTACTTTATGAAGATTTACAGTTGTATTTTCAGCCGTTTTCACGTGGTGATGTAAACGTTGAGTTTGGGGCGTGGCCAGCAGCAGCTTATTTGGATTTAAAGTGACAGAGGCGCTAAAATAACTGATAGAAACTCAAATGAATGGTTTTTGAGCAAAAAATGCAATAAATATGTTTTTATAGCCTATATTGCTACTCTAACCCATTCAAGAAAACACAATAGGTCAAATTTAAGTATTAACTTATTATTAATGTCAAAGATTAAAACCTGTTACAGCTTTGGAAAAAAAAAAAACTAAGAAAACTTTTGGTGCTTTCATAGGATTCACAGAGGAAAACAGGACCCAGGTGCAAGTCCAGGTGTGAACTCCTCTATAGAAGCAGGAGTTGTTTCAGTTTGCTGGTCGGCGGCCAACAGGTGTATGTGAACACCTTGCCAAGGCTGAAGGACATCAGCCATGACCTCAGTGAAACAATTGTGGCCACTCATCAATCTGAGAAGAGTTACAAAGGCCAAACAATCCAAACTAAAATCCATCATTCTGCAGAGGGAATCACAGACTTCAGTTCAAGAAGGTGCAAGTAGAAAAAGACTGGATTACAAGCTTATTTCTAAAACAAGTAAAATGCATCATTACAATGAGAAATAGATTACCTATAAGAAGAAAACACTCACCTTACAATTTTTCTAAAAACCTGCAGTCAGAGGTGGGGAAAGCATCCAAAAACTGTACTCAAACTAAGAGTAGCAACATATTTTACTCAAGTAAAAGTAAAAAGCATTTGGTAAAAGTCTACTCAAATACTCAAATTAATTTAAAATTTAAAAAGTACATAATCAGATGGACAAACATTTTTGTATTTTAAGAACGGAAATTATAATAATTCATATAAGTAACAAAAAATAACTAAATCAGGGAAATGTT